TCTGCCACAATGTTCTTCATTTACACATTTTCTTGACAAACAACATCCTCTAAGTCAGCCACCATCTTCTTCAAATAATTCCTTTCTACTTCTACACATTTCAATGAGTTATTCAAGTTGCTTGTCGCCATTGTCACATGTGGTGGCATATTTTGGTCGCGCCATTCCCAAAGACTACATGATGATTCTTCATCAAAACGAGGGCATTTCCAGAATCTACGTCTTGCATTTGTAGGAGTGTTAGCCACAAAATGATTAGAAATCAACTCGCAACTACATCAACGAGACGAATCAGAAGCAATTGAATTCTCAGACGTGGTGGGCTTGTATTTTCCAAAAAATAATAGCTTTTATAAGCAAAAGCAAATTTAGAAGAGGAATGGAACAAAACAATTACGACCCGGAAGGAGGAATCAATTTTTGAGGAGGAAGAAAAATGGGATCCGCCCTAATTTGTTGAAAAAAATGGGGTTAAATGAAAAGGGTAGGTGAATAATATTTGTTTTACCATGGTTTGTGCCGAAAAATGGGGCGGGTGAATATTTGGGGCGGGTTGTAAGTGACCTAGGGCCATATAGCCACGTGGCGCAATGAAATCTTGACAACGCATTAAATAGGGGGACCACAGATGGCTCCATTAGTCGCGGGGGTAATATCAGGCCCAAAGATAACGTTGAATGTATTTTCGGACAAATAGATAGATGGAGCTCGATACTAAACCATTTGTGATATTACGAGGATATTTTTAGCCCTTTATCGAAGTTAATGCGACGGATCTCACTGATATAAGACCAAAAAGCAGAATAATTCAATGTTCCAGTAATAACAATATTCTTTGCTTTGCTTGCAAATGACTTAAAAAGAACTGCTCTTAAAAATTCTAATATGAGCCAATGGTAAAAGCAAACGAGGAACAAAGAGATTTATTTTTAACGAAAAGATTTGCTTAATTAAATATGGAGTATTTTTCAGTAACATTTTCTACTAGTAATTTTGTTTAATTTGGTCGTAAGCTTATATTATTAGACGTAACTAATTGAGAAGGATTATAAGTAAAGAGTTAACGACTAGCAAAATAATCTAACTATGACACAAATAACTACTCCTCAAACGGAATTATAAATCGGCATTGTTGTGCCTCCATTTAAATCCGTTCCTAGTTCAATACTATGAAGAAAAAAATTTAACTTTTTCCCAATAGACATTTTTCACATTAGATTGACACATAATCTCTAACAAGTAAAAATGTAAAATACTTCCAGAAATGAAATTTTCAATGACAATATTTCGACTTCTTTAGATCTTAAATCTCTTTGTGGCACCATTTGCTTTCTATTTGTGGCGAAATTAGCTGCCACAAAGATAATTTATTTTTGCGGCAACTAAGCTCGTCACGTAAAGTAACTAGGCGGCCCACTAAATGGATTTAATATAGGCCGATATTTAAAATAGTTGTCTATACTTACTTTTGATGGCGATTAAAGAGATTGTGATTTTTTTTTGACTGAATCCTAGTTAATTAGTATGTATAGAGTTTTTTCTATCATTGTACCTTGTTCTTCGCTAGGTCTATCGGGATTTTAAAATATTATATGTCAAAATAACTTATTTCCACATAATTTTTGGTTTATTTCGTCCCTTTATAACATATTTGTCTTCGTGATATCATACTTACCAATTAGTGCATTTGGAGTCGACGTGTGGCTCGGCCAGTCCATCTTAAGCGACATTCTCTTAGTTTGTTCTCTATGGCTCTATGTGTGCTTGTTGCACCATATTTTGAATATGTTCATTTTTCATAAAGTAACTAGGTGGCCCACTAAATGGATTTAACATAGGTCGATATTCAAAATATTATCTATACTTACTTTTGGTGGCGATTAAAGAGATTGTGATTTTTTTTGACTAAATCCTACTTAATTAGTATGTATAGAGCTTTTTCTATCATTGTACCTTGTTTTGCGCTAGGTCTATCGGGATTTTAAAATATTATATGTCAAAATAACTTATTTCCACATAATTTTTGATTTATTTCGTCCCTTTATAACAGATTTGTCACGGTGATATCATACTTACCAATTGGTGCATTTGGAGTCGACGTGTGGCTAGGCCAGTCCATCTTAAGCGACATTCTCTTAGTTTGTTCTCTATGGCTCTATGTGTGCTTGTTGCACCATATTTTGAATATGTTCATTTTTCATAAAGTAACTAGGTGGCCCACTAAATGGATTTAATATAGGTCGATATTCAAAATAGTTGTCTATACTTACTTTTGGTGGCGATTAAAGAGATTGTGATTTTTTTTGACTAAATCCTAGTTAATTAGTATGTATAGAGCTTTTTCTATCATTTACCTTGTTTTTCGCTAGGTCTATCGGGATTTCAAAATATTATATGTCAAAATAACTTATTTTCACATAATTTTTGGTTTGTTTCGTCCCTTTATAACATATTTGTCACCGCGATATCACTTACCAATTGGTGCATTTGGAGTCGGCGTGTGGCTAGGTCAGTCCATCTTAAGCGACATTCTCTTAGTTTGTTCTCTATGGCTCTATGTGTGCCTGTTGCACCATATTTTGAATATGTTCATTTTTCATAAAGTAACTAGGTGGCCACTAGATGGATTTAATATAGGTCGATATTCAAAATAGTTGTCTATACTTACTTTTGGTGGCGATTAAAGAGATTGTGATTTTTTTTGACTAAATCCTAGTTAATTAGTATGTATAGAGCTTTTTCTATCATTGTACCTTGTTTTTCGCTAGGTCTATCGGGATTTCAAAATATTATATGTCAAAATAACTTATTTCCACATAATTTTTGGTTTATTTCGTCCCTTTATAACATATTTGTCACCGTGATATCATACTTACCAATTGGTGCATTTGGAGTCGACGTGTGGCTAGGCCAGTCCATCTTAAGCGACATTCTCTTAGTTTGTTCTCTATGGCTCTATGTGTGCTTGTTGCACCATATTTTGAATATGTTCATTTTTCATAAAGTAACTAGGTGGCCCACTAAATGGATTTAATATAGGTCGATATTCAAAATAGTTGTCTATACTTACTTTTGGTGGCGATTAAAGAGATTGTGATTTTTTTTGACTAAATCCTAGTTAATTAGTATGTATAGAGCTTTTTCTATCATTGTACCTTGTTTTTCGCTAGGTCTATCGGGATTTCAAAATATTATATGTCAAAATAACTTATTTTCACATAATTTTTGGTTTGTTTCGTCCCTTTATAACATATTTGTCACCGCGATATCACTTACCAATTGGTGCATTTGGAGTCGGCGTGTGGCTAGGTCAGTCCATCTTAAGCGACATTCTCTTAGTTTGTTCTCTATGGCTCTATGTGTGCCTGTTGCACCATATTTTGAATATGTTCATTTTTCATAAAGTAACTAGGTGGCCACTAGATGGATTTAATATAGGTCGATATTCAAAATAGTTGTCTATACTTACTTTTAGTGGCGATTAAAGAGATTGTGATTTTTTTTGACTAAATCCTAGTTAATTAGTATGTATAGAGCTTTTTCTATCATTGTACCTTGTTTTTCGCTAGGTCTATCGGGATTTCAAAATATTATATGTCAAAATAACTTATTTCCACATAATTTTTGGTTTATTTCGTCCCTTTATAACATATTTGTCACCGTGATATCATACTTACCAATTGGTGCATTTGGAGTCGACGTGTGGCTAGGCCTGTCCATCTTAAGCGACATTCTCTTAGTTTCTTCTCTATGGCTCTATGTGTGCTCGTTGCACCATATTTTGAATATGTTATTTTTTATTTTGTCTAATCTCTTATGATTGCACATTCATCTTAATATTTGTATTAATGTTACACTCGTATTGTGGATACATAGGATTAGAGGCCCTAAAAATTTAATTTCGTATAATATTATTAGTCTTATAATTATTTCGTAGAACTTACCTTTCACTTTAACCAGTTTCTTTTATTGTGTGACACTCCACTTGCATTTTTATGTTTCAACCATCCTAATTTGGCTCTATGCTATCTTTATTTTCTTTTACCCTTCTTTTTTAGCCTCGCTTATTCTACTTTACGCCATCTACGATGATAAATCTTATTCCTCACTTCCCATCAGGGACATATGCACCTTATATCATGTATTATTACGGGATATCGCTTCGTCGAAATTTTTTGACTAGATTTTTATAAGAAAAATAAAAATAATGAGAATACATATAGAAAATGACACCGCTTAATATTATAGTGATTTATTCATTGGTCAATTTATTTAAATTATGATACTATTTACAAAAAATCTTACGTACACCACTGCTTCTCACCAATTCTATAGACCTTCATCTATTAAATTCACCTACACAACATGTATCTAGGAGTGAAATTTGAAACTAGAAACATTTTTGGAATTGGGGGAGAATGATTGCAAATAAAGGGGAAAATGGCAAAGGAATCGGGTTGGGGGGAAAATATGCGCAAAGGATAGGTGATCTCAAATAAAAAAAAAAAGATAGGTGATCAATCAAAGGCGTGACAATTGGTGAAATAATATAATAATAGGGAGTTATCAGGTTAAAGATTAGAATTGTGGTTGGGATAAGAATCAATCTAATAGCAAAAGACAAGAAAGCTTCATTTGTCAAAAGACATAATGAAGAGTTAGCACCGATTCAAATGTCAAAATAAAATAAAAATTAGGTAATAATTAAAGATTAATCATACAACTTGCTAGTATGTTTTATCACATCTTGTCATATGTGATGTTGTCTAGTCTTACCAGAAGACCACAAAATGTGAGAGATTAACAACAAGAAAAAGATAAAAGGGAAAACAACATGGACTTGAATGTGCATTTCGTTCCACAACACCCCACCACCAAAGCTCGCTGCGTTATGGTACATTGTAAGGTATGTAATTTGAATTTTACATAATCTTTTANGAGGACACCGAATAAAAGATTATTATCAATAATTCCTTGTTTAATCATACAAAACTATCATCATCATATTCATTCCCGTGGGTCGTGTCATGCAACTTCCCGCTTTTAATCGCTATATCACTTCACCGCCCCCCTATTAAATTTTCCCACTTCCCCAACAAACTACCCCAGCTTAATTCTGTCAGATAAAAATGGAGTATAGTATACTCCCTCAAATATCATACTATAATTTACTACTAGTACATATTAATTTTCCCACTCTAAGTAACGATTTTCTGATCTTAATTTAGTCCGTTTTTCTACAAATTTTAGATTTTCAAGCTAGTCTCCGTTTCGAGCCACATTACATGACAGTGGACTGAGCTAGGAGAGCTTCTGCATGTTCACAATAATTGTTTTTGGATCGACTCGTATATATTTTCCGAAGCACGTTCTCAATTGAAACCTATTAAATTTGAATTCTGAATTGATGGCCGCAGCTTTAGAGTGCTGGTCAAGTCGAGCTAGCATTGAAGAGGAAATGGTAGAACAAGTTCTAATGAGAAACAATCACAGATCGGAGGCGCCGCCGGGAAGCGGTTGCTCAACCGGTACTGGTTCTGCCGGCGGGATTGGAGGTTTAAAGGAGTCTTCTTCAGCAATGCAGAAGCGACTACAGAGACTGAGCAGGAACGTGTCGGAGGTAATTGCGTCGCTTAAGAACTCACTAAACCTCGAAACGGTTCGTGACTCGCCTTCACCCTCGGACCGAGTTGAGACCGGTCGGAAGCACGTTTGGGGCAGTGTTGTACGGGGATTGACTCAGCTTTATCCTGGTAGTCAACTTCCAGAGAAGCTTGTCTCCAACATTCGCAAGCATTACGACTCTTTCCCACTCAGGTGATTGCACTGTCCTTGAGATTTTTGGATTGAACTGTTCTTTTTTTTTTTTTTGGTTTCCACCCGGTTTTCGGTACCTGCAATGCATTGGAGCCCGACTATTCGCGCCGCGTAGGGCTCATTCGGGGGAAGCGCTCCCTACCAAGGATTTTTCCATACCAGTGCTCGAACTCGAGACCTCTGGTGAAGGTAAGAGCAGTCCCATCCACTACATCACATCCGTTGATGGTTGGATTGAACTGTTACTAATTGTGTTCAACAAAAAAAAAATGTAAAGGCAGAAAACTGGAAAGACATAATAACAAGAAAAGTTAAATAATTTCGAGCTCACGGAATTCACTGTGTGTCCTTAAGGAATTTAATACCCTTAGTGTTGTCCAAGGTTTGGATTAATTACTCTTAGGATAGAACGAAATGCACTAATTATAGAACTTCGACGAACTCTAAGAATGGAGCACATCACACTTGACAAAGAGAGAGACTTCAGAATTTTGGTGTATAAAATATGAGGTCGAGCCTCTTAATTTATAGGCAATGAAAGGGTAAGAGGGAGAGGTACAATCCAAAAGATGCATTTTCCTATTCACACCTTAAAAACCCAACATGAATATATATATATATATATATATATATATGTATATATATATATATATGTATATATTACTTATGTATGCACGCTTAGCAACAGAATCAGGAATTTCACTAAAGGAGTACAAGATTTAATATACTCCATATGTATACAAAATAATTTATAACCTATGCATGCAGTATAATTTTTCTATATGCACAACATTATTTTTTGATGTAGTCCTTCAGTCGATGTCACTCCACCGTGCACAATGGCGGTTTTAAGTTTTAGACATCCTGGGTTCTGAGTTAAGAGTGTGACTTCTAACTGTGTGTGTAACTCTAGCTTTAATTAATTTTATATACGTATAGTGTTCGACCTGTACATGTAGGTTCTGCAAGTTCTGCAAAACTAGCACTGTTTCGTCTACAGTATGTAAATGATGATCATGAGGATCAAAATGAAAATGGCTCAAATGCAATGGGATAAAACCCGACTAGTTTGTGATTGGGACATACTAGTAATTGTTGTTATGTGTACATGATTCGGAGCAAGAACATGTTCGGTTGAACTGCCTTAAGCTAGATGCCTAGATCTGCCTATTATTGTGTCACCATCTAATTTTTGACTTTGCTTTATTGCTGCTAGTTGTTTTGGTGTTGGCATTTTCTTATATACTTGGCTTGTTTTTTGATAGCTATGGGCAAGCTGGATTTGAAATGAAGGATGTCTTTCTACATATTAGATTGATAGAGCAGGCATCCGCAGAGGATCACCCAGCCATTATGATACAAGAGGTATCTGATGATGAAGTTCAAGGATCAATTTTTAAGTTAACATTTGCATGTAACTCTTCTATTTCGTGGTCTGCAATGTCCGGGGCGCTCGACAGCGCCTCGATTTGTTGTAAAAAGATACAGATCTTTGAAAAGAAAGGTTTTACGTTGGGGATTGTGATGCTTTTGGTTCAATCTGGGAAAGAAAAAATGTTTAAAGCTCGTATCGAGAATGTTCTTAAATCAGCCCTTAAGAAGCCAAAATCTACTGCAATGAAGAAGCTACCGTTTGGGATTTGTGGGAGTCAAGAGGAGAACACAAGGAGCAGAGAATATGGGGAGATTGAAGAGGACTCTGGGCAGCCAAATTACAAAAATGGGTTCGATAATTCGACCCCAAAGGTCCAGTTGCAAATACCGTTACCTACTTCTTTGTTTACGGTCTCGGTGGATGAATGGCAGACTGTGTTATCTGGCGGAGAAAAGATTGGAAAGTGGTTATTGAGCTCTGATAATCTTGAGTTCATCGATCAGATTGGACCGAATACATTCAAAGGGGTATACAAGGGAAAAAGAGTTGCGGTTGAGAAGCTCAAGGGGTGTGACAAAGGAATTGCATATGAGTTTGTGCTTCGACAAGATTTGTTGGAGCTGATGACGTGCGGTCACAAGAGTATATTGCAATTTTTTGGTGTTTGCATCAGTGAAAATCATGGCTTGTGTGTTCTGACTAAGTTGATGGAAGCTGGGTCAGCTTATGACTTATTGTTGAAGAAAAAGAAACTCCAGACTAAAGAAATAATAAGGATTGCCATTGATATAGCTGAGGGAATCAAGTTTATAAATGATCATGGAGCTGCATATAGAGATCTTAATACACAGAGGATCTTGTTAGACAAAAATGGGAATGCTTGCTTAGGTGATATGGGCATAGTAGCTGCTTGCAGGAGTATTGACGAAGCCATGGAGTATGAGACTGATGGTTATAGATGGCTAGCTCCTGAGGTCTGTTCCCTTCTACATCTAATTTGATTCATATATACACATTCATATGTCTCTTTATTCTGGAATATTGAGTAAAGTTTTTGGAAATATTTTGAAAAAGGCTATTCTAGGGATGATGAGCTCTAAGATTGCCTTACATTTGAAGGCAGGGCTAGATTGAGAGAGAAAAGTGTTGGGATGTTTTGTTCCGTTACTGGCAGAGCACTTCGGATGAAATTTTATATACATTATTTAAAGTTAAACATAACTTGGAGGAACTTATGTCATCATTGGAAGTATAAGAAAGTAATTTTGCATATCTTGTGAAGTTGATCTTTAGGTGATGGTTTCAAGATTCCATATTGATGGATCATCAGAAAAATATAGGACCTTACATAACAGTGAGATCCACTTCCACTTTAGTATACTTTTCAATTGGCGGCATCTTAACAAAATGAAAAAGTAGATTTGTCAGAAAGATGTTAACTGAAAATTTTACTGGTATAATTATTTTTAGGCTGTGAGACTGGGGTTTTCTGGTGTCAGATATAATGTTCTTCATGAGTTCTGAGCTTACTTGATCGAATCTTTCCAAGTATGCTGCAGTAAACCGAGTAAACAGTCTTCGGTGCCAAACTGGGTGCCAGCTTAGGTAGGGGAAGCTGATACTTGAGAACTCTTATAAGACTATATCTGGCTACTAGCTAATCCCCCTTTTTCCCGTTAAGGATGAGAAGAGGACAATGAGTAGAAAGGGAGGGTTTTTCTCCCTAACCTAACTGAAATTCAGGGGCAAGCCAACCATCAATTCAACAGAAACTACGCCTTATTGTCAAACTAGTCGGGTAATGTTAAATGAATCCTCTGAATCTATTCTGCACCATTTGGACCCATCTCGTTCTACTAAATAATTTTTTACGGAAAATTAAGGGTTCTCCAAAACTAGGATTCTCTGAACCATGCCCCCGACAGTTTTCTATACTAATAAAATTTCATGTTAGTGCTCAATGAGTGGCATGCGATATTCTCTCGTCCTTTGAGTATCTCATCTTAGAATGGCCACAAAGTGTCATCTACGATTTTCTTGAGAAGCATATTTTCTGTGGTGTTGATACATAAGGTAAGAGGCGAAATTGCCCTCCTATTGCCACAAGATGAGTAGTTTAGTTGTTGTTAAGAGGAGAAAAATTCTGATTTTAAGTTACTATTATGAAGCATAAAAATGTCGTCACTGGATTAAATATATTTAAGTAGGCCCTTTGATGATTATCTACTTAAGAAAACATTGTCACTTTTTCTGGCATGATTTTTTAGCATGCGCATCATGTTATCATATTTGTTTTTACTTTATATGCTTTATGGTCTTAGCACTTATGCCCTGCTACATGATTATGTACTTTTGGTTTTAATTCTAGCAAACATTTTTGAGTTGATATCTCTTAGCGGAACCCACTTTTAGATGAAGATGGAAATCCATAGGATGTTTGCTATACTTTCATTTCTGGTGCTACAGTTTTCTTTTTCTTTTTTCCTCCTTCCTCCTTTCTTTTTCTGGGGATAATTTTCAAATGAATTCTGATACAATCTTTTTAGAGAAAATTATGATATTGGCTAGTTTCAGTTTTATTCTTTGCAATATATGACTCTACATGTAACCTTCATTTGGTCCATTTGCTAACAAGAAAACCATGTGACTACTTCTTTTATGGGAAGAGATTATTTTGATATTTTTACTTCTTAAAGTCAATAATCCTTAAAAAAATTGAAAATTTGTTAGTGAAGAGACCAAAAGCGCATAAAATTTTATGCTTAGTTGGACGAAGCTGAAACTTGCCAATGTAATTGCGGAGCCTAAACAGCAATTATCATTTTTTTATAGCTATGATTGACAGTCGTGGAACATGCAAGTCTTTTAAAGTAATCCTGTTATATGATCGATGTAATGGAGTCTAATAACTTGCCTCAGACTTTGATTTTAATGTATGCTAAGAGCTGGTTGTTGTTTATCAAAGAAGTATGTATACACCATGAGCAGGCTGCTTTTATGCAGTGGCAAATCTTTTTTTATGTTAAGTGGCTCTTACCCTTCTTATGCTGTCAATTGTATGCAATGAATGATAAAAAGGAATATTATCCCCATTCTAACCATAATTTTGGTTGTAACAGATAATTGCAGGTGACCCTGAAAGTGTTAGAGAGACTTGGATGAGTAATGTATATAGTTTCGGAATGATTATATGGGAATTGGTTGCTGGTGAGGTAGCATATTCTGCTTACTCACCAGTACAGGCTGCTGTTGGAATTGCTGCTTGTGGGCTTAGACCTGAAATTCCAAAAGATTGCCCCCAAGTTTTGAGATCTCTTATGATCAAGTGTTGGGATAATTGCCCTTCAAAACGTCTTCAGCTCAGTGAAATTCTGTCAATATTGGTACGTTCCAGCAGTAACAGCTTCAGTAATACTAGGTAATAGAAATTTAAAGGCTGTTTAATCTAGTAGATGTTGTAATCAGTCATATAGATCCTCTATAGCAATGCAAATTAAATCCTTACTTGATTAATGATAAGTTATTCTCCTATCATCATATAATGAAAGAAAAAACAAAGAAAAAGCTCCCAGCTTATAGTTTATGTTTTGTGCTAGAGACGGTCGAGAGACATGACTGGTTGAGTCACATGTTGTCTCTCCTAGTCCTATTATGGTTGTCATTATTAATGACTACACCTTTTCATGTTGTCTCTACTGTGAGTTGATAAACTAGCATAAAGCAGAAAAAGACAGAGAGATTAATAGGTTTTAGTATTTTAGGCCTTCTGTTTTGCTATGTTTCCCTTTAGTTTTTCCTTCTCACTAACCAAAAAAAAATATAGGACATGAACCATTTCTCTGGAATGTTAACTCAACGAATCAAAGTGGAGGATTAGTCTTTATAAGTATGATCTGAGAGTAAAAGTATGTCCAGTTAGGGAATTTCTTATAATTGCCATACGCAAATTCCATTTTTTGGTGTATCTTTGGCGATAAATTCTTTTAGTGATAAGATTTTCAAAAAAATATTGTTGAGAATTATTTTGCTGTGTGCGATTTAACATAAAACTGGTAAAAAAAATTGATAGGAGCTGAGTGAGAGTGATGTTGGTGATAACAATGAGTTTGAAAATATGTATCCTTCTTACTAGGAACAGGTGTTATGGTGTAGTGAGTGCACTAAGTTGTAGTGAAAAATGCCTCTCTTTCTAAGAACAGGTCATTTTTCTCATTTTCTGGAGGAGCATATGTTCAACAGGTTTTAGACGATCAATAATAACAACAACCCAGTAAAATCTCATAAGTGAGGTCTGGGGAAGGTTGAGTGTACGCAAACTTTACCCCTACCCCAGCGTAGTAGAGAGGTTGTTTCCGAGAGACGCTCGGCTCAAAAAGACGAACAGAGATGATATATCCTACCAGCAACAACAATTAGAGAGATCATATCAATATCGTAAGAGACAAAATATATAGAAAGACAATAACAAAAATAGGTAATAATTACACAGTACTATGAAAACAAAAAATTAGTGTGAACACAACATAAGCGTCCAAGACAAACACTATCAGAGAACTCAAAGATAAGTGCTTTTGTATCTTTTCTTTTTAAAATTTAAATTATTTTAATTAATAAATAATTGGTATTGTGAAAAGGATGAATAGATAAAGTAGATATCTTATATTAAGGAAAATGCAAGGAGTAGGAACTAAATTCAAGGAAGATCTCTACGCATTACCAGTAGCTCGGGGTGAAGTACACAATTGGCACTCATAGTATATGATTTTGAAATTTTGTCCCTGCTTGCACCATGGGTAGAACTTGAAGTTTAAAACGTGTTGCCCCTCGCTCGTCCCACGGGTAACACTTTTAGCTTTAGACCTTGAGGTTCTGTCCATGGGACAAGCGGGGTCAAAGTAAAATAAAAGAAGAATTAACTCAAATAGCCACCCACTCAATTGCTTGAACTAGAAATAGCGGATGGATATATAGTATATGTATAATTTGTAGTATATTATATGTGTATAATCATATCTATCAATGTATAATTTATGTATATAGCTAGAAAAAATAAACAATGAATATGGCCGGTTATTCAGGTAAAGAGCCCGTAGAAAACCACCCCTAGAAGTTGTAAAAATAGCACGGGCTAGCCAGTTTTCGAACTGGTCATTCAAAAATAGCCGGCATTTGCAAAGTGATTGAAAATTAGCCACTATTTTGCTGCAACACGGAAAGTTCTAGCATAATATACTGGAGATCGGTACACCTGTATATGAACTTCCAGCATATTATGCTGGAACTCAAACACGCAGAGAGTTCTAGTATAATATACTGGAACTCCAGTATATTATACTGGAGTATTTTTTCGGATTTTGAACAGTATTTTCGTTCAGATTTATATTTACATGAAAAGTGGCTAAATTTCGATACTTTTGAAACTGTGACTATTTTTGAAGAGAAATTTTCATAAAGCACTATCTTTTAGTAGTAATTAGTCATCTATAGATACCATTTGCTATATTACGGATTATAGATACCTTTTATGTGGTTATAAGATGTATTTGATGTATTTAAGCTATTGTATTCATGAATACAGTAGCAAAAATAGGCGTGAATCAGGGAAGTCCAGCTAATCAGTTGTTGTATTCGAGCGTATTCGACTGTATTCATGGAGTGAAACATGGGATTACAGCTGGACAAATTATTGTATTCGACAGTATTCGACTGTATTCACGGCGTGAAATAGGGGATTACACTGTTTTTAAAACGAAAAGTGAATCAATTAACATAATAGACTCCTAATATAATCAACAAACTCAATTATAACACACAAATTTTGTATTTTCAGTTATAAAAAAGATTTTCAACCGAATAAATATCCCAAAAACATAGCAATCTTCAGAGAAATTATATAATACATCTGAATACATAAATTATATTAATTAAAAAAAAACTTATGAATACATTCATGGCATATAGCAAGACAGTGAATACAATGAAATATATAGAATACAACGGGATACATTGAAATACAATGAGAAAAAAAGATAGTGAATACAATGAAATACGTGGAATACAACGAAACACATTGAATTACAATGAAAAAAAAGACAATGAAATACATAAAAATACATTGAAATATATTAACAGAAAATCAAGTTGCTCAACCCCAAAGTCCATCGTCTTTGTTCAAGAACAAACCAATCGGATTATATGTCGGCGGCTGCTGTTGAAGAATCAATTTAATGTCGGCGGCTGCTGTTGTTGGTGAGAATCTTGAACATAGCAATCTTCAAGAATCAATTTTGAACTTTCTTGTATAGGCTAAAAACTGGTACAAACCAAAGAAGGGGCTAAAAACTCGTTGTGAACTTTCTCGTAGTTATATCATTAGGAATAAGGAACAGACGGAGCAGATTGCAAACAGTTTTGCTTTTTCCGTGTTGGTTTGTTTATGGAAAACATGTACAATTGTGGTGTTTAGTTTTATGGAAGACGAAACAATTGTTCTCTGGCAAACGAACTGCAATTGTTCTCTGAGAAAGTTCGTGGGTTTGCTGTGTTCTTTGCACAAATTCGGTGGAAGGAGGAAGAGATCAGAAATTTTAATGGGATGGGGGAAGAGAATGGGATGTATCAAAGTAGAGAGAGAAAGAAAATAGTGTAACTGATTAGCGTATTTAGTGACTTAGGGTTAGGAGGTAACCAAAATTAAATATTTTGCTATAAACCTTAAAAGGTATCTATAGAATATAATTTTTTAAATGGTATTTATTTAAAATAAATAAGGTGTTAACCTCTGCTATAGGAGGTAAAAACTTCTAGTATTTTTAGTCTTGTTGAAGGGGACAAAAATAAAATTTGGGCTCAAACAACCCATTTTTAGGCCCAATTTCGGATAGCCCAAAACATTAAGCCCATACACATTCCCCATTTGACCTAACCTAATTCCTACTCCCTATAAAAGAAGAACCTAATCTCTAATACCTACACCTAAGTTAGCAGCAACACACACAAAACAGAGATAACAAATCGGAAAGGGGAAACGGCAAAAAATCGTGAGATGCAAAAGAGAGGAACGGACGAGAATTAAGCTCACATTCTTGGGTTTTACTCTTTGGGTTATGATTGGCTGTGATAATTGTAACGACCCGATCGATCGTTTTGAGCCCTAGCGCGCCGTTCAGCGGTTTGAGGCCATGAGCAGCTTCAATTCAGGCATTATGACTTGTACGCATGGTCGGAATTAAATTTCGGGAAGTTCGGAGTTGACTTGGAGAGGAAATTCTCATTTCGGAAGCTTTAAGTTGAGAGAATTGACTAGGATTGGATTTCAGAGTAAACGACCTCGGAATCGGGATCTGAAGGTTCCAGCAGGTTCGTATGATGATTTCGGACTTGGGCGTATGCCCGGATCGGGCTTTGGGTGACTCGGGAGCGTTTTGGCGCCTATTGTGGAAGTTAGCATTTTGGAAGAAATTTCATAAGTTTGGGTTGAAGTGTATTTCAGTGTTATCGATATTTGTTTGGGATTCCAAGTCTGGGAGTAGCTCCGTATGGTGATTCTGGAGTTGGGAGCGCGATTAGAAGTGAATTCGGATGTCTGTGGAACATTTTGGAGCCATTTGGCTAAGGATAGAAATTTGAAGGTTTTTGAGAAGTTTGACCGTAGGTGAACTTTTTGATATCGGGGTCGGAATTCGATTCCGAAAGTGAGGAGTAGGTCTGTAATATTGAATACGACTTATGTGCAAAATTTGAAGTCAATCAGATGTGATTTGATAGGTTTAAACATTGAAAGTAGAAGTTTGAAATTCTAAAGTTCATAAAGCTTAGATTGGAGGCCGATTCATGATTGTAGCGTTGTTTGATACGATTTGAGGCCTCGTGAAAGGATATTCTGTCGTTTCAGCTCAGTAGCGGTACTTCTGAGAGCTCTGAGGCTAGGCACAATTGCCATGATGCTATGAACGATTGTTCTGCGGTATTGATATGATTGTAGGACGTTTGCCTACGTGTCGGGGCAGTGAATGACTTGAAGGGAGGTTTACTCAGTGCATGATCTAGAGATTCGGTATTTTATTCCTGGTAGGGGAAAGGCAACCAGACCGAGAATGGTCAGATGTGGGCTGGTGGAGTAATAAGACTTGGTATTTGTGAGCGTGATGGAGTTTTCTTCTATGATGGAGTGTCGCTGTCCTAATTGAACGTACTAAGTTCGCCGGTGTTATGATCTTCTACAATTCGCCTTTGGGGCAAGATATCGTGAAATAGTATTGGAGATGCGGCTTCCAGATATTGTAGGGTGCGGTGGTTTAGGATTGAATAAGTGTTTCTTATGTTGACGATTCGATAAAGATGACCTTCAGAAGGGTTTAGAGTTAGCAGCAATTGTGGGTTCAAGTGCCGCGAAGATAGATTCTAATTAAGGCAATAACTGAGCAGCAAAGGATGAGGAAGGACATGTGGGGAGTGTCAGGTGGTGGTTAAAATTTCTAGAAGGCCAGGTATAAGATGCAAAGGTCGAGTAGTCGACTAAAGGGGTGAGTTTCGCCA